CTGGAGACTCTAGAAAGAAAACAATCTGTTTTCTTGCCTTTCCCAGTTTCTTGAGGTCACCTGCATTCTTTGGTTTGTGGTTCCCTCCCATCTTCAAAACCAGCAGTGGGAGCACCTGGATGGCTCAGTCGGTTAAGCATCTGCCTTTGGCTTAGGTCATGATTCCAGGGTCCTGGAATCGAGCCCTGCGTTGGGCTCCTGCTCAGTGGGGAGCCTGCTTCTCCCTCTCCCCCTGTCTCTTTCCCCTGCTCATGCTCTCTCAAATAAATAAAATCTTTAAAAGAAGTTTAATAAAATTATGAGATGTATTCATAAAATTAAAAAGAAAAACCCAGCAATGACTGGCCGAGTCTTTTTCACATCATTTTACTATGACCTTTTTTCTTCCTCTCCCTCCTTCACATTTAAGGATCCTTGTAATTCCATTGGGCCCACCTGGATGGTCCAAGTCAGCTGATTAGCAACTTAAATTCCATCTACTATCTTTAATTTCCCTCTTCCACATGATGTAACATATTTACAGTTCTTGGGATTAAGATGTGTACACCTTTGGGGGGGCATTCTGTCTATCACAGCTAATTTGGGTGTTCCATCTGAAGCAAGAATTCCGCAGCTGCTGTCAGACTGCCACTATGCAGAGGGCATCTTCACCTTCTGATTTGTGAGGATGAGCCAAGAACAAGGCTCATTCATTTATTCATTCATGCAACTATCATGCAATTCCCACAAGTATCTGTCAAGGGTCATGTATCTTAGATGTAGGAAATACAATGGTGAGCAAAATAAACAAGGAAGTTTCCTTTTTTTAAAAAAAGACTTTATCCATTTATTTGACAGAGACACAGCGAGAGAGGGAACACAAGCAGGGGAAGAGGGAGAAGTAGGCTTCCCGCGGAGCAGGGAGCCCGATGCGGGGCTCGATCCCAGGACCCTGGGATCATGACCTGAGCTGAACGCAGCCGCCCAACCAACTGAGCCACTCAGGCACCCCAACAAGAAAGATTCTTAAACTTGATTATAGACTAGGGGGGAGATACACATTAAGTAGTCACATGACATGCTAATTAAAAAAAACTGTGATAAGTTCAATTAAGGAAAAGTTCAGGATGCTTTGAGAGGACTTAAGATGTGACTGACCTAATTTAGGTCAGAAAGCCTTCTCCTTAAAACTGGTGTTTGGGCTGAGCTAGAAAGGTTAAAGTAGTGTAGTTGGGTGAATGTATGGCATGTGCAAAGGCCATGTGATGGAGTGTGGTGGTTTTAAGGAAGTGAAGGCTGGCCAATGTGATCAGAGAGCAGATAGCCAAGGGTAAACAATGGCACAGGGTGAAGTTAGAACCGTTGTTGAGTACCAGATGCCTGAAGAGTCCTAGAAGCCATGTTTGTTCTCTGTAGTTAAGAGTCTAGTTTTTGTTTTTTGTTTTTTTTGTCTTTTGATTTTGAGAGAGAGAGAACAAGTGGGGCAGAGAGAAGCAGAGGGAGAGGGAGAAGCAGACTCCCCACTAAGCAGGGAGCCCAATGTGGGGCTTGATCCCAGGACCCTGGGATCATGACCTCAGCCAAAGGCAGACGCTTAACCAACTGAGCCACCCAGATACCCCGAGTCTGTTATTTGTTTCTCTCTCTCCCTTATTTTTCTCCTGTTTTGTTTCTTAAATTCCACGAGTGAAATCATACGGTATTTCTTTCTCTGACTTCACTAAGCTTTATAGTCTCTAGATCTATCCATGTTGTTGCAAATAGCAAGATTCATTCTTTGTTATCGCCGAATAATACTCCACTATATATATACATACATCTTCTTTATCCATTTATCTATTGATGGACACTTGAGCTGCTTCCGTATTTTGGCTATTGTAAATATAATGCTGCTATATACATAGAGGTGCATGTATCACTTTGAATTAGTGTTCTTATATTCTTTGGGTAAATACCAGTAGTGCCCTTGCTGGATCACAAGATAGTTCTATTTTAACTTTTTGAGGAACCTCCATACTGTTTTCCACAGTGGCTGCACTAGTTTGCATTCCCACCAACAGTGCACAAGGGTTCCTTTTACTCCACATCTTTAACAATACCTGTTGTTTCTTGTGTTGTTGATTTTAGTAATTCTGACAGGTGTGAGGTGATATTGTAGTTTTGATTTGCACTTCCCTGACGATAAGTGATGATGAACATCTTCATGTGTCTGTTGGCCACCTTTAAGTCTTCTTTGGAGAAATGTCTGTTCATGTCTTCTGTCCATTTTTTAAAAGATTTTGAGGGAGAGAGAGCGCCCAGACAGGGGGGAGGAGCAGAGGGAGAGGGACAAGCAGACTCTGCACAGAGCCTGACGTGGGGCTTGCTCTCACGACCCTGAGATCATGACCTGAGCTGAAATCAAGAGTTGGATGCTTAACCAACTGAGCCACCCAGGCGCCCCTTTTGTCCATTTTTTAAATTGGATTGTTTTTTGGGTGTTGGGTTTTATAAGTTCTTTATATATTTTGGATACTAACCCTTTATTGGCTATGTCATTTGCAAATATCTTCTCCCATTTTGTAGGTTGGCTTTCAGTTTGTTGTTTCCTTTGCTGTGTAGCAGCTTTTTATTTTTATTTAGTCCCAATAGTTTATTTTTGCTTTTGTTTCCTTTGCCTCAGGAGACATATCTAGAAAGAAGTTGCTACAGCCAATGTCAAAGAAGTTACTGCCTGTGTTTTCTTCTAGGATTTTTATGGTTTCAGGTCTCACATTTAGGTCTTTAATCCATTTTTAATCTATTTTTGTGTGTGGTGTTAAAAGTGGTCCAGTTTCATTCTTCTGCATGTTGTCCAGTTTTCCAACTCCATTTGTTGAAGAGACATTCTTTTTCTCATTGGATATTCTTTATTTTGTTAAAGATTGTTAAAGATTAGCTGATCATATAATTGTGTATTTTCCACAATTCTGTTCCATTGATCTATGTGTCTGTTTTTGTGCTAGTACCATACTGTTCTGATTACTACAGCTTTGTAATATAACTTGAAGTCTGGAATTGTGATGCCTCCAGCCTTTGCTTTTCTTTTTCAAGATTACTTTGGTTATTTGGGGTCTTTTGTGGTTCCAGACAAATTTTAGGATTGTTTTTGTAGTTCTGTAAAAATGCTGTTGGTATTTTTTTAGGGATTGCATTAAATGAGTAGATTGCTTTGGGTAGTAAAGATATTTTAACAATATTTGTTCTTCCAATCCATGAGCATGTCTTTCTATTTCTTTGTGTCATCTTCAATTTCTTTCATCAGTGTTTTACAGTTTTTGGAGAACAGGTCTTTTACCTCCTTGGTTAGGCTTATTCTTAGGTATCTTATTATTTTGGGTGTACTGTACAGAGTAGAATTTTTAAAAAGATAACTGTAGAGCAGCCAAAGCGGCTACTGTGTGAAGAATGGGGTACAGTGAGGCAAGAATGGAAGCTCAGTTGTAGCATCTGAGATGGGGGTGATTCCTTATAGTAGAGATGGAGGGACATGGCCAAAGATGACAACTAACTGAGGAGGTAAAAATAACAGGATTTGGTAATGGATTGGTTATGGAGGTTAAAGGAAAAAGAGGTTTCAGAAAGACAGGTTTGGAGAAACAGGTTCACTGCTAAGATCACAGTCAGTGTGGGATATGTTAAGTTGCAGAAATCAAGTACGTAGTAGGATATATGGATTGAAGTTCAAATTTTAACTTTGAGACTCCCTGGCATATATAGGTGGTAATTTCAGCCAAGGGTGTGAATGAAATCTCCTAGGGAGAGGGTACAGAGGAGGGCTGCCATCACAGAAAGCAGCGGTTCTTAACCTGGGGCAATTATGCTCCCCAGGGGACATTGAGCAACGTCTGGGGACATTTTTGGATGTTGCAATTTGGGAAGGGGTGTGCTACTTGATGTCTAGTGGGTACAGGCCAGGGATGCTGCTCAACCTCTGCTGCACAGCACAGTCCCTACAACAAAGAATCATCAGACCCAAAATGTCAGTAGTGCTGGGATTGAGAAACCCTAATTCAAAGGGTGGGCAGAGGACCAGCCAGCGGAAAAGTCTAAAAGCAACCAGGAAGAGTGTGGCATGAGGAAGGTACGAGAAGAAAGTGTCTGAGTATCAAGTGGGATGAAGACTGAAAATGGTCATTGGCTTAAGGATGTGGTGATTTTTGGTGACCATAAGAACAGTTTGTGAAGTGGTGGGGTCAGCAGCTTTTTCAAATAGGACTGAGGAATAAGAGAATGAGAAAATGGAGACAGTGAATGTAGACAGCTTGACAGCAGAGGTAAGGCAATAGTTGAGGAGGGGGTCGGGGGGTGGGATGGGATAAGGCTATTTTATTTTTTTTAAGATTTTATTTATTTATTTGACAGAGAGAGACACAGCGAGAGAGGGAACACAAGCAGGGGGAGTGGGAGACGGAGAAGCAGGCCTCCCCTGGAGCAGGGAGCTGGATGCTGGGCTCGACCCCAAGACCCTGGGATCACGACCTGAGCTGAAGGCAGACGCTCAATGACTGAACCACCCAGGCGCCCCTAGGCTATGTTGTATTTTAAACATGAGAGACATTTGATTAAAGTGCTGATATTCCTATTCAACAGAGAAGCGGCCTGGGAAGGCCTGGGGGGCAGAGACAGGGAGGGAAGGATTGGCTTTAGCTGGGAGTGGTGGCTTCAGCTGCAGCAGGAGGGAAAGGGGAGAAGATGGATTCATCAAGTAGGATTGCCTGCAGAGGGTCCCTTTGTCTGTCATTCCCTTGGTGTGAGTTTTAATGGCTCCAGCAGAGGAGTCAGAAGATCAGTGATCCCAAACTGTTCTTTTTAGTCAGGGAAGGGTTTTGTTTTAGCATGTGCTGTACCAGTCATGAAGGTTTGGGTGTTCCATGAGCCATTATCATCAAAGTTAGGGAGACCACATGGGCCAAATTTCTGAAAAGGGGCTGTGACCTGGAGCATCTAATGAGCACTAACTTTTGCTCGAATAAACAGTGGAGTTACTTTTTTCCCTCCAGTTTTCTTGCATGTTCTTTGGAGCAGTTTCTTCTGACCAGCGACAACACTTCAACTACCCTTTTGACAGTCTGGCAACAGCAAGTGACAGTGAAGAGGACATGAATAATGGCAGTTCTTCCACATTCTAACACTTAATGATGGCTCCATTGGCCCCCAGGTCCAAGTGCTAGCTCACTTGCACCTCAAACACGTTTTCAAATTTAGTCTAAAAGATACTGTCTTGGACTTCCTTGAAATGCGAGGATGGGCTTCTGCTTTGCTAAACATCATCATCTTTTATAACAGCCATATCTAGAAATAGCTGCTTGTTAAGTGTACATATTTGCTTTAAATCCATTATGCTACTTGGAGGCAGAAGAGTCTTCTGTGCAGGGAAAAAGCTCATTAGAATTCTTCAATGCACGTTCACACTAGAGCTTTTAGCATTCTTTGCCAGTTTTATAAAGGTATTTAGACCTTTTTCAGCAGCCATCTAGAGTGCATCAATATGGCTTGTAGTTCTGTGACTAGTAGGGAGCTTTTGTATTTGATTGCAAACATTTGAGTTTTGGTGCTTTCAGACATAGTAAAAAGCTATGCAGTCTCTTCCCATGTAATGCCATGACTTTTTTTGTCCATTACTTTTTATATTCTGTTAAGATTTTAAGTAAAAATAATCCCTGAAATAAAGGTCAAGAATAAAAATATATAGCCACCCCTTCTCACTTTGGAGTCTTTTCATATATTGTAAAATTTTATTTTACAGCCTTAAGTTGTTCTGATTTTCATATGTGATTTTTACATTTTGCAGTGGCATGCAGAAAAGAATTTAATGGAACTGCTGCCAAAATTATTTCTGTATTATCTGACATAGAGCAGCAACCGCCACTTCGAGAGCCTAGGTTTGGAGTAAAATGAGGTAGATTATGAATGTCTCTGTTCTTTGCCCCTTTAAGAATTAGCTTCTTACCTGAACAAACAGACTAAAAAATCTGGCACAAAACCATTGTTACATAATATGATGCCTCTCCCTCCCCCAAACCCGTTTATAGTCAATTGTAACCTGACAAACTCTTGACTTCTGTAACATCTTACTGTGAAGTCTTTGTGAAACCAACAAATCACAAGGAAACAACTGGCAGGCAGTTGTACTTTACATTTTGTGAGGAATTCATACACAAAGGTGGCTGAGTGAATTAGTAAACTTTAGAACTGTGAAGAGTTCTAACTAAAACCAGAATGAATTTGGCTCTTATAGCTTAGTAGTGAGTCAGAGCTACCCACAATAACCTAATAAAAACTCTAGTTTGTCCCAAAATGTTCCTCAATGAATGAAAATGGGCTTTCACCAAGCTTTTTGTGGAAATTCGCAATGCCCACATAATTTCAAGTCCTTTCACACTGTAGGCTAAAGATTTACGTATCTTATGCTTACACTGATGATTAACACTGACTTTCACATATTCCTGACAGATGCAGATGACGACAAAGAGAGCATTTATACCCGAGTTACTGTAGGTCTCCTTGCAGAGGGTGAAGTTTCTGGTTCACTCACTGAAATGGGCAGAGGGGTGTAGGTTGTGAAGGCACCATCATCAGTAATAGCCTGGATGCAGCATCAGTCTGGAAAAGACAGTTACACTATTAAATTGTATATAATTTGGGTTTTAGAATTTGCACACAGAATGTTAAGTTTAAATGACACCAGATCTTTTTGTGGCTTCATTCCATACCATTTGGAAGATGCAAAAGCCTTCTCAGTTGGGAAAACATCTATATTTTACGTTCAATTATCAGTCCATTTTGATGGAATTTTTGAGGCAGCTAAACTGATGTAGTAAACCAGCTGGTGAAAAAGAGCTAAGGGGGATAAACTAGGAAAAGACAGAAAATGACAGCTACAAAGTAAGGAGTCCCTGCTAGAATGACTAAGAGGCTTGGAAATGAGGACTTGATATAGAGACCAACAAAATGCCAAGGGCTGGTGTCTTACTCAGTTACAGTTCAAGTTAAGAGGAGTTACGCAGATTAGTATAAATACTATATTTATTAAATATCTTTACAGTTTATTTAAATGTATTTACAGAACTATTCCTGCATAAGTTATATTTCAGACATCCAATTCAGGTCATTGCCTCTTGGGTAAGACAAATAATGATAGTCTCAACAGAAAAAAGCAGCTCATTAGTATACACAGATTCAAATTTGCTTCATATTTAGCCATCTTTGCCACAGACTACCTGCTAACAGTTAAAATTTTGACATGGACACTGTTGCTTTTTAATTGAGAAGTTCAATTCTGCAAATAATTTTTTTAAATAAATAGAATCCAAATGCTTTCTGCTTCATATTTTCAGTTTTATAAGCAGATTTCGGGGATTTTTTTGATATTGTAAAAATTTGTTAACTGCAAAAATGTGATAGTTTCCAGGGAAATTGGATGCTGTAGCTTCTAACAAAGATAGCTGGTATAAGGTGACAAGGAACCATGAACTTATTCAAAAGTACAAACATTTACAGTTCTAGCCAATCTTGTTTACAATCTCCAAAATGCTCAAAACTGACTCCGTGAATTCCCACAATTCCTGCCTTGTTACTCGATGTGGTAGGTTGGTGGTACTGAAGGTGGTCCTGAAGGCTACTGTTCTATCCAGAACAAATGCAGCTGATAGAGAGGACACTCTCCTATCATGCAAAGCTTGAAATCTAGTTTCTACTCTAGACGTAGCACAGCCCCCCAGACATGCATACCTGGAATGGATTCTTTTGTGATTTAGTACCTATCAACCATGTCAAGCCAGTACAGTAATTCAGGACAAATAACTTGTTTCCCCCACCCCCATTTCTTCTTTCAGTTTTTAAGAGCCTATGGACTCTACTGCATTATCCATTCAGTAAATTTTTTTTGTGCGCAGGCAGCTTAAGTTCACAGGAAGAAATAAGGTTCTGATATGTTTCGAGTGCACATTTTAAAACAGAATAAAATAAAAATTTCAAGCATGTGATAAAAATATTGATTTTTATAATACAGTATTGCTTTATAAATATAGATGGAAAAGCTATAAACTTTACTGGTCTTTGGTGCATCCAGACAGGGATAAATAATTTGCCATTTGTAAATTAGAAATCCAAATTCTCTTTTGTTATAAAAGTCCATTACATGAGGCAAATGTGTGTGTTTTATGCTGCTTGATTTAAAATATAATTAACACACATATCAAGTTCAGAATCAGACCCACCAAGTGGTATATCTCAGTCACTCCCCACAGAGACTTGGGTTCTGTGACCTGGAAAATTCCAGTATGGGTCCAACAGAGCCTCTTGACTACTGGGAGTGGAAGGAGAGTTACTTGTTAAGCAGCACTCCAACTGATCACCCCCCCACACCCCCCAGCAGTCATAAAATTAATTGTGTCACACACAAAGGACAGGGCAAAAAGAAAATCGAGAAAATATTCTGTGTCACTAATCTATAGGCCAGGTCCAAAGTCAGTTCCATTGTGAAACTCAAATTCTTGTCCCACTATTTTCAATATCACTGACACAAACATTGTTGATTTCTTATGGTCATTTCTCAAAAAAGACTAAGTTGATTAAATGAGTCGTGTAAAACACCACCAATCTAGCTTTATAAAGATTGTGTCTGATGGGTTAAATGAGAGCAGAGAAAAGCCAGTGACTTGACCAGCACTGCTCTTACAAGGAATTAAAAGTAGGCATTGGAAAATTAATGCAAGATATATCCAGATCATAAGGCTACATACCCCTGACCAGAAATAATTAAAAACCCAAACGAAAGAACTGAAATTGTCAGCCCAAATATAAATGTATTCCTTCTAACAAAACCCTTCTGGATGCAACTTTCTTTACTTTTTAAATATACAGAGACTGCAAACAGTTTGTGCAAAATAAATACCCTGCCACTTGCCACTCATGCTTCCGTGTTTTATCATAGCACGATGGGTACTCATTATTTAAACAGAATGTACCTCTACCCACCCCTCCCGGCCCTGACCCCTATCTCCTCTACCAACGAATTCTGTTTTGTCAAGTTAGGGTAGTTAAGGCATTCTGACATGTAATTAAAGGTGATTCAAAATAGATATCTAACATTATGCCAATTTAGGAATAGTAGATAAATTACTGAACGGCTTACAAATGAATAACTCATTCTTATTATAAATGAAATGCCTGTTACAAGCATGATGCATTGAAATATAGTAATGACATGTACATGGTACATGTTAAACAATTTTAAATAAAACAAAAGCTTGACAGTTACTCAAATATACAGTACAAATTCACAAAACAAAATCTTTTAAAACAAGTTGAGGTAACCTCAAACATAAGTTTTAATGCAATAAACCAGGAAATAAGTCTCTCCTTTAGAGAAAGATACTTTCTGTATTCTCTTCCAGTAGATCCTCATCAGGTTTAATTGCATTCTCATCTATACACCAATGTTACCTGACTTATATATAAAACATGGCTTTAATTTAAGGATTTCTAAGTATATATATTTTTCTACCACCAAGTTAATGAAGGAAAAAAAACTGACCCAAAAATATATATCTTTACAGCAGTTGACTTGTGCACAAACCTTAAAAATAAGTTTGAGCTTGCAGGTAAGGGGAAAACTGTGGGTAGTTTTATACGGAAACTATACACTGCAAGATGGCTATTCGGAAACTGTAAACATTAAGCTTGATTCAGAAACCCCTAAATTTTTGTGTAGGGCAAATGCAAATGTCAGATCATCACCAGGAGTTCTCCTCGTGGACTCCTGTGCCGTTGTCACTGCCCACAGTGCTCTTTTCACATGGACTCCCTGAACCTGGTGCGTGCTCTACGGAAAGCAAGCCTATTAATGAAAGGTCTGAGAGGGAGACTAGGAGTAACATGACCATCAAAACCCAACAAAATTCAAAGTTATAGCTGTCTGTTCTCAACCTGTGAGGCCTACGGGCCTAGAGCTCCCACACAGGAAGCTCGTATCAGAAAGCTGGGAGGAATTTCAGCCATAACATTAAATTTCTAGGCTTTGAGGAGTTTTATAATCTTGAATAATATTTCCTTTGGAAAAATCTGGTAGGGAGTCTCCCCAATGCCTCCTGCAAATCAAGCCACCAGCCTATAATTTGGACTAATCAATAAACTGCCGGAACTTCCCTCATAGGAGCACGAGTAAGCATCTTTTAAAAACCA